TAGAACTGAGCTTGGAAGCACTGTGTGGATCATCTCATTGTCCAAGAGTACAATTGGGCCTCTTTAATATAGCTGCATAAGAGTCACATACAATGGATTGTTTGTGGAGAACATAATTAATTTTGTATCAAATATACAAACAAGTTGAATGTTTTACATATTTACCTGAAGGAAGAGAATTTTTTCATGTCTCAGACACATTGAAAGTCTTTATGTATCATTCATAAATAAATTTTACTGTAACTACTATACTAGAGTATGAAAAGAAGTCTATATGCCAAAAAATTTATTGAAATAAATTGTTCAACATAATTGCCTACTGATATGAGCTTGATAATTAAAAATGAAGAGTAAAATGAATTGTTTCTTCATACACAATTAATAATGATGGTTAAAATGCTTTGAAAAATTTGACATAGATTTGTGTTTGTTTTTCATTATTTTTCTATAAAATGTACTTTATAAAATAAAACCTTTCTGACCACCAAAGAAAGACACAATAAAGCATATCAATCAAACAAATACAAACAATTATTTTTTCTTATCTTTAATTTGATGATAGTCTTTAATTAACTGTAAGGCAGATAAAAATGTGACTGGAATTTTTCAAATTGTTTAGTTTTTCCAAGCACTCATATAACTCAGTAAAAGAAGCAAATGATACCCTTAATTGAGTATTTTGTTAAATGTGAAAAATAGATATTTCTTCTGAGAAGAGTTTCTCTGTTCATTTTAATTGTCCATTTTTAGATTGTGTCTTCTATTTTTAGTTTGTAAGTTTTTTTGGGGGGTTCTTTATGTATTCTAGATGTTAGTTACTTATTTTAACCTCAGACAGATCATCTCTGTTTTAATATTGAGATACTTGACCCTTTTTTTTTTTTTTTTTTTTTTTAGTTTTAGCACATGACAAGATATAAGGGTCTAGATTCAATCTTTGCTATGTGGATATCCAATTTTCCCAGCACCATTTATTAAAGAGGCTCCCTGTGTTCATTTTGTCAGGATGTGTCCTAAAGTATTAAAGAGGCTATCTTTTCTCCTGGGTGTTTTTGGCCTCTGTGAAAGAACAAATAGTCAGATGTCCTTGGCTTTTCCCTCCTTCCTCTATTCTGTTCCACTGATTCATATACCTGTTTTGGCACCAGTACCATGTTGTTTTTGTCACCGTAGCTTTGTAATGTAACCAACTTCAATGTAACGTCAATCTTAGATCTTGACACTTCCCACTGCTTTCGTTACAGAGTATTGCTTTGGCTAATGCCATATCTTCTGGTTCCTTCTGAATTTTAAGACTTTACTCTAGATCTGTGAGGAATGTTGTTGGCATTTTAAATGGAATTGTTTTCTTTGTTTTGTTTTGTTTTGTTTTGTTTTTGTGAGACATAGTCTTGCTATGTAGTTCAGGATGTCCTTGAAATCACTATGTAGCCTAGGCTGGCCTCAAACTTGAGGTGATCCTCCTGCCTCAGCCCCCAGAGTGCTGGGATTGTGGGCATGCACCACCACGCCCAGCTTTAAATAAAATTGCACAAAAATTTATGTATGAGATTTGGAAGTATAGCCATTTTGACTTCATTGTTTCTAGCTATCCAAGAACATGGGATATCTTTCTTTCTTTTTTTTTTTTTCACCTTTAATTGAGTTTATTGGGACATTTTAGGGATACAGTACAGTTATCTATTTTCTAATGTCCTCTTTAATCTCCTTTTTCATGTGATGTAATTTCTGTTGCATGGGAATAGGGTAGGTACCTCTTAGATATTTAATATAGATGTTTAATAGTCAATGATACTGTACCCTAATTTTTTTCTCAATGAGTTCAATATTAGCACATGGGAACACTACTGATTTTTTGTGCTTGATTTGGTATCCTGTTACACAGCTAAATTTGGCTATTAATTCTAGGAGTCTTTAGTGAAATTATTTGGGTTATATAAGTAGAAGTTCATGTCATCTACAAATAGTAATATTTGATTTCTTCTTCCCTATGCATATCTCCTTCATTTTTTCTGTTGTCTGATTGCTTTGGCTAATACTTTGAATGTTATGTTGAACAGAAGCAGTGATAGTGGACATCCTACTTTGTTACTGATTTTAGAGGGAAACTTTTAGTTTTTCTCCATCCAATATGTAGGCAATAGGTTTCTCATAAATGATGTATAAGATAGAGGTAAGATGCTTTTAACTATTTACTCCTGGGTTTTTATCATGAATGGATTTTGGATTTTGCTAAAGTTTTTCTTTGTGTCTACTGAGATTACTGGGCAATTTTTTCCTTGCTTTTGATAATTAAGAGCTCAATTTTGGAAATGGCCTATATGCCATCAGCAAATGAATGAAAAATGGATTCGGTATTTGTACACAGTGAAATTCTGCTCTACCACAAAGGAGCAAAAATTTCATTTATTCATAGGTAAATGGGTTTACTTTCAGACCACAAAGCTTAGTGAAATAAATCAGAAACATAAATTTAAATATCACAGTTTTTCTTATATGAGAAACTCAAAATATAAATAAAGAGCAAAGTAAGGGATAGATAAAAACTAGAACATCTTTTTCAATTGGGAAGGGGAAACAAGAGATGCAGGGAAGTGGGTAAGAAGAAAGGGAAAAGGGATGGAAAAAAAGGAGAACTGAAGAAAAATGGAGATAGAGCTTTTGCTAATAGGAAGGGATCAAGAGATGGAAAGAGTTAGTAATGAGGGAAGGAGTAGGGGAGGGAGAAAAATTAAGATGTTCTAGGCACATGTTCCAACTTCCTACAATAAATGTAATCATTATGTACTGCAAACATGTACTACTAAAGCTAAAGAGAAAAAGAGTAATTTCTCAGTCTATTCTTAGCTATCCTTACTAGTCTGGATAGTTTTACTTTTATTTTATTTAGTAAATTAAATATTTATTTTTAATAAATAAAATTGAAAAATACTTAACAAATTTAAAATAAAAGCATTGCAAAACATTGGTTTTGACTTTTAGTCTTCAAATTGTTTCTCTGGATGTTGGATTCCTGTAAATTGTATAAAAAAGCAGCATTGAGGTAAATATTTGAATTGAAATAAATTCTATTTGTCCTTTGTGTATCTGAGGATGTGAAATTTGATTAATCTTTTTTTTCCTTTCTGCCCATCATAATGTCCCTGGAAATATGAAATACGAAATATTATATCTCCCAACCTGTTAACTGTATAATATGACAAGTTCTTGTTCTCTATAAATAATAATAAAAAAAAATGATTCCTAGGAATGATGGAAGTTAATAGTAGGAAGGTATTTATTGATAGAAAAGCTCTTGAGGGCCAGGATAAGTTCCAAGTGGGGGGCCTAGGACCCCACTTTACTGAGAAGTTTTATAGGATGAAACCCACAAGGGTACAACATAGGCCGAAGCCATAAACACTCAATAAATTTACAAGTACAGTCACTTAGGTAATGGTGGTCCAATTGGGAAGCAAGTCATGTAGCAAACATGGGTGGAACGAACAAGGATTTTCCTAGGATTCAGTGAGTCCAGAGGTCTCTGGTCACCCTTAGGGTGCTTGATGCCTATCTACACTTCATTAAGCCCAGATCTTTGAAGAAGTATGTGGGTCTGGTCATCTTGTCTCCATCTTGAGGCCTGGTTTTTAGCCAATGTGCACCTGTGGTTTGTTTCACCTTTGTCCAATCCCTCTTGAGGATTTAGCCAATTTGACTGTCTATAATATTTTTACCTAGCTCATCTACTTATAATACCACCTCCAAGAAGTATCCCAAACTGCCATAAGGGGGCAAAGGATAACGGCTGCTTTAGCTGCTTCAGGCTGAAGGGGGTTGTAGTTGTGGTTGGCAGTCAGGAATACCCTTCAGAAAGTCTATCTAAAGGTCCTCGAAGGGCATCAGGTGTTTCCATCATCGGTAGGAATATAGCTTTAATTAAGGAGGAGCCAACGACAGATAGACAGTTAAGTACACATGGGCCAACAGGAATATGATAATTACAGCCATAAGCTCCCTATGGATGAAAGAAATCCTGCCACATCGTGGGGTGTATATACAATGAGATCTTTGCCTACAATCAGCTTGGATACCTCTGGAATTAGGAGAGCTATTTCAGCTATAGCTATAAGGCATGTAGGCCATCCCCTTGTTACAATATCTAGTTTATGACTTAGATACCATACAGGCTGTTGAGCAGGTCCTCAATCCTGCATAAGCACCCCTAAATCCATCCCCCACCTTTCGTCAACATGCAGATTGAAGTGGTTTCCTGTGGGTAAACTCAGGACACGGCATTTAGAATCACTTGTTTAAGACTCTGGACAGCAATTTGGGAATCAGGTTTCCAGGTTAAAATATGGGTATCTGTCTTTTGAGTTTCTTTTATAAGCTGATAGAGAAGTCATGAAATCTCACCATACCCTGCTATTCAAAGGTGACAAAAGCCCATAATTCCCAGGAATCCCTTTAGCTATTTTAGAGTCCTAGGCAGCGGGGAAGAACATATTGCTTTAATTCTTTTTCCCCCTAGTCTTTGGGTTCCCTTAGATATGATAAGGCCTAAATATTTTGCCTCAAGGCCACAAAGTTGTGCTTTATATCTAGAAAGCTTATAACCCCTGTCTGCTAGAAAATTTAGCAGAGCACTGGTACCTTGGCTAGAGAACTCTTGGGGGAAGGGGGCTCACATACCAGTATATCATCTATATATGATAAGACTGTGTCCCGGGGAGACTCAAAATACGCCATGGAAAAGCACTGTCCAAAGCAATGAGTCTCTGAATTCTTGAGGAAGTATAGTCCAACTCATTTGAGAGGCCTCATCACGAGGATTTTCAAATGTAAAAAGAAACTGAGAATCTGAGTGTAAAGGAATATAAAAGAAGGCATCTTTTAGATCGAACACTGAAAACCAACAGGCATCTTCAGGGATTTGAGAGAGGAGAGCATATGGATCAGGTAGCACCGGGTGGATTGGCATTACTGCCTCATTTACCAATGTACGATCTTGTACTAACCTCCATTCTCCATTGGTCATCTGGATTCACAAGATTGGAATGTCGCATGTGCTATTACTGAGTTGAAGTAAACCTTGAGCTCTTGGGTTGTCAGTTACAGGCAATAATCCCTTCTTAACCTCAGGCTTCAGAGGATGTTGCCTTTGGTGAGAAAAAACAGTAGGATCTTTGAGATGAATCCGTGTCAGGGCGGCACTCACCGCCTTTCTTATTTTATCTTCAAATGCCCACACGTCGGGATTTATTTTTGTTTCTATAAGAGGGGGGCAGTGTAACTGATCTGAATGCATGTAGAATACGATGTTTAAACAGGAGAAGATATCTCTCCCCAGGAGACGTACAGGGCTTGTAGGCACAATTAAAAAGGAATGGGTTAAGAGAGAGCCACCCCGTTACCACCTAAGGGTTGAGTAAAATAGTGAGTTACCTCCCTTCCGGTGACTCCTTCCACTGATGTATGATGGCTGGAAGGAAGGCCAGGGTTGAAGAGAACAGAGAGAGAGAGATGCCATTGTCCAACAATAGGCTTATTTATTTTAACTCTGTTGTCATAATTAGCTGGGGCTCCTCCATGGAGATGACAGGTTGGACAGAGGGAGAATGCAGGGAGTGTACTGGGGCCCTTCAGTCTTGTTGGACCAACTGGAAGGCTGGGTCTGAAATCTTGGTTTTCGCCTCAATGGGCAAGCTGACCTCCAGTGGTCACCTTTGCAGTCAGGACATGGTCCAGAGGGCCTCATGTTGCTGTCCTTCTTGAGATGGCCTAACTTTTGGCAGTGGTAGCAGTAGGTTCAGTCATCCAGGCCTTGTTAGAACTGGGAATCAGACCTAAAGTGTATTTTTCTTAGAGCTGCTGCTAATGCTGCTGCCCTCTCTTCATTCCTATTTTCTTCCTCTGTCCTCTTCCTACTTTCAATTGTAAAATATAGAAGAAGCAATTTTAATAAAGTATTAGGTGAGTTGTCTGGACAAAAAGCCAATTTTATAATTTTTTCCTAATATCTGGGCTGACTGTGTAATAAAGTTATTCTTAAGGAAAATATGTCCTATCAATTCAGGAGCTGAAGACCCATTGTATGTTTTATTAATACTTCTTGTAAGTGATCTAAAAAGTTAGAGGGTTTTCTTTTTCCTCCTGTTGAATAGTTGGCAATTTACATAATTTAAAGGCTTAGATCATGTCCTTCTTAGACCTCAAAGATGCACATCCAAAAATGTCTCCTATTACAGTCTCCTGTCTGGTTAGTAGGCCAGTTGGGATCCTGTGTGGTGACTCCTTGGGCTCTGGAAGGGACTGGCTGCTCTACAAGCTGTCTGTATTCTGGCTCCCCAAAATTAATAATATGATATTTGTCTCCATATGCAATGGCAGCTTGTAATACTGCTTGTTTTCCAGTAGCATTCAATGTTTCATTTAAAAGTAACATTACATTTTTCCAGTCTAATTCATAGGTTTGGGGAAGTCCCCTAAAGAACTCAATATACTTATCAGGATCACCTGATAACTTTACTAGGTCTTCTTTGATCAGTTTGAAGTCACTGAGAGAAAAAGGCATATGAACATGGGCTTGTCCAAATCCACAACTTACTTCTTGTAAGGGATATTGTCCTTGAGGTATTTGAACAAAATTAGCTATGAGTGGATATAATTCTCTAGAGGTTTTAATTATATCTGGTCTGTAAATTCACCCTTAGATTCTAAAGGATAAGGGGGAAGGATCTCAGCCTATAAAAAGCAAGTGGGAAAAACTTTGTTTGGTGGTAGTTGGAGCTTTCACTGGGATTGTCTCAGAAACTTTGTCCTCAGGGTCCAAAACGTGAAGACAGAAAACTTCATATTTAGTGATAAGGACCGGAGGAGTCCAGTCTTCCTGCAGTTTACAATTTAAAAGCAAATCAGAATTATTTCTTAATTCAAAAAAGATCTGGACAGAAGGCAATTCTTACCATTTCCCCCTTTTTATACAGTTTAATTCTAGTTGTGAAATGGCATCATAATTAATACATGCCAGGCATGGTGGTGCATGCCTGTAATTCCAGCACTCGGGAGGCTGAGGCAGGAGGATTGCTGTGAGTTCGAGACCAGCCTGGGAAAAATAGTGAGTTCCAGGTCAGTCTCAACTACATAGTGAGACCCTGTTTAAAAAAAACAAAAAACAAAAAAATAATACTTCCCTCCTCATTCCATCTTGGCTTTTAGGATAGGTAGGCCATGCATGGGTGCAGAAGGTTAGTAGGCTTCTCTTCTTGAATATGCGAGGATCAATATTCTGCCAGTGTTAAAGAATACATTCCAAAAGAGTAAGATTTGATCCCCTCATACCACCCCCCAAAAAATTCCACAAACAACAAAGGAGTAAGAGTCTTTGACTTGGCATTCCCCATATTCTGGAAAAAAGAAATAGAAACAAGGTGCCTGTATGATTCGGATTGATTCCTTGTGCTCCTAGAGCATCTTATAGGATCACATCTCCAGGGATAGTGACTGCCATCCAGAGAGACTCCAGAAGGTAAATTGGACTGGAGTATTCACCCTTTTCCAGCTCACAATCTTACCTTCCTCAGGGAATGTGTGTTCTTACTGCCATATATATTTCAAAAGCCCATGATACAATTGATTTTAGTTGTAAAATCATGTCTTTATGAAGGAAACATTGCCAGCTAAACTAATAATCAAAAGTATCTAAGTCAATATTTTCTAAGTCTTTGAGAGAGAATGAGGAAGATGGATTTTTTTTTTCCTGAAAAAGAGATCAATTTTGGAGACAGAAGTAATCAAAAGCCACAGAGGATCTTCACCTGTGAAGAAAACTGCCGAATCAGCTGTGTTTTCTGATCACCTGGTTAACCTGCTCCAGCAGCAAGATAAAGACTACAGATTGTTGAAGTTCACAATGCACACTTATCAGGTCTCCACAAGTACATAGAAGAGAAAAGCTGTTTGAGATCCCTTTTATTCCGAGTTAGCAAAGCTCCAATGCAACATATGTCTCTGTTAACTTCTGTCTAAGGCCTCTTAGAGAGTTGCAGTCTAGCAATAAAGCAGTCAAGGAGTTCTAAAGTTAATTCCCAAGGGCTTCAGAGTTTCCAGCTTATTAAAGATTTGTCAAACAACTTCTATGGAGTTACTGTTTTATATTTGTGTTTATCTTACTAGCAGAGAGAGAGAGAGAGAGAGAGAGAGAGAGAGAGAGCCATCCAATCCCAATCCTGTATCCCATTTCCTAATGGAGGCTGGAGACAGGGCTCTACCGGCTCTGTTTCAAGTCACTCTGACACAGAGGATATCTCATGATCACCAAAAGGGTTACCTCTCACCTCAAAGTGAAGTCCAGTTAGGGGAAAATAATTATGTGGAGATTTTTCTACCAATTACCCATTCGGTCTGCTGGGAGTCAGTTTCCACTGGGGGACCTTTAAGCATCTGCTAGAGAGTAGACCTGGCCACAACCTTTCAGTTGTCAGTCCAGTTTCTACCAGTTTCACACAATCATAGATCTGTCTCCAGGAAGAAATCTCGTGCCTGACTTGCCAGAATTTAGTCTACAATTTATTTGCCAAAGTATTTTTTTCATACACAAATGATAAGAGCTAAACCTATGAAGAGAGAGAGGAGGTCATTTTTTTTATGGAAATGAATGAAAGAAGGAAATCTGCTTATCATTTTTTTTTTTTTTGCACCAGGTATTGAACTCAGGACCTTGACGCTTGTGAGGCAGGCACAGTGGCACTGAGCTACATCCTCAGCCCAGCTGCTTATCATATTAACAAATGAGATACAGTCCCAGAATTCATGGAAGCTGGGACAGGTGAGGTGGGAGGATATAATTTTGAGACCAGGCTGGGAAACTTAGCGACTTAGTGAGATGATATGTCAAATTGATGAAGTAATAAGTTAAATAATTAATTAAAAAACCTGAGGAGGTAACCCAATGTGAAGGCCCTAGTTCAATCCCCAAACTGCAAACAAAACAAAACAGAAAAAGGAAGAGAGGGAGGGAGGGAGAGAGAGAGAGAGAGAGAGAGAGAGAGAGAGAGAGAGAGAGAGAGATAAATTTCCCAATGCTACATGCTATATTTTTCTGGGTCATCCAAATAATGGTTCATTTTCTTTTAGAGGCAGAGAATTACAAAATCTATAGTTGGAAACCTAGAGAGCTAGGAAAGCTAATAATATAGTTCAGCCTGAATCCAAATGTCTGTGAAACAAGATGGTAAATATGTCATGTTAAGCTTTAGTCCAAGTTCGAGTACAAGGCGGGCAAAGACCAATGTCCCATCTTGAGCACAGCCAGGCAGAGAAAGCAAAGTCTTACTCAGCATTTTTGTTCTACTCAATCAGTCCTTAGGGAAATCTGCTATATCTTGTCTACCAACCCAAATATACCAACCCATAGCAGACACAATATTAAGTAATAAATGTAATATTTAAACAACCCTTGGTCTAGTAAATGACATAAAATAATCACTGGACCGATGAAAGCTAACATACCTTGATTTTTCATTATTTAGAATATTTGTCATATCTTTCTGCTTTCCTTTTGACTTAGATACCACATTATTTTTCTTCTTAAACTTTTTAAAAACATAACACAGATAACTCTAAGTTAATTAAGTATTTGTGAGTCAATCATTTCAATATCGGATCTTTTAAAGTTGGTGACATTAGCAGAGAGAAGTAAAAGGATCATTTGAGTTCCTTAGTATTTTCATATTTGTAAAGTTGTATTCAGTTTGAGAAAATAATTTTCAGAAAGATTTCAGTGCAATCCATCAAAATAAAGTGTGAATCTCTAAGAAATACATTAACTCTCACTTTAAACATGAAACCAATACAGAAGTGCCTAATGTAAGAAGTCAGATATTCAAGAACCTGAATATTTTCCCCTTCCAAAGCAAAACAAAATTTTTATTCACCTACTTTAGGGTCACACTGCTTTTTGATTTTAGGGAAATTTTTTTTTCCTAAGCTCTTAAGCCTCATTTTGCAAAACTCACTCTCTTTCTCTCAGTATATGTGTGTGTGTATGTGTGTGTGTATGATTCTTATGAGTTAATAAAATTGCATCCTCAAATATAATTTATAAACTATAAAGTTCTATATAAATTGGAAGTATCAGTCATTTTAGTTTGATTGGTTTTGTTTTTATTTACTTCAGATTTTACCCTTTTCTGTAACCTAATGTATGTTGAACTGATTTGCTTCTGCAGTTAAATAGTTGAGAATCTATTGTTTGTCTTAGTCAAACAAATCAATCTAAGTCTTGTGGCTTCTAAGTCATGTCATCCAGTATAGATTAATGGATTCCTCTGAATTACCAGTAGAGATAATTGCTGGACAATATTTTTGGGTGATGCTATTTAGTTTTTCACTGTGTACATGTCACTAAGTATACAATTCTTTTTTCTGAGTAAGTTGAATAAATTTGTTGAGCAAAATGAATGTTATAATCTCAGTGTCTGTTTCTTCCTGAA